CCACTCATTTGTCAAGATTTCTGTACTTCAACACAACAAAAGTACCACCCTCAAGATGTGCAGGCAATGATTTGGCATCCTGGTGTACAGCTGCCATCTGGTGGTGAGAAATTAACTCCAAGCTACTGGGAAATTAATGATGGTCCCTTTCTGCTTTTCTTCCTTCCCTCCCTTTCTCCCTCCTCTCTTCCTTCTTTTTTTCACGGCTAAGATGAAACTCAAATTGTTTGGCTACTGCAGCTTAAGAAAGGTGCATTTTTAAGGCATAGTGTACAAAGATTGGAAAAGTCTATAAGCAAATTCTGTTGGCAAACTACCTCAGTATCTTACCTGGCAGTACAGGTAAATGGACTTTCATAGGCTTTTTCCCAGCAAGGATTTGATACTGATGTGGACCTGCAGGGAATGGGAAGTTGGCTTTTCCTCAGAGTGAGTTTTAGCTAGGCTCCTGAATGAACTCTAGAGGAGGTGGGCTTCCTGGGGTTAATATGAATTAGCAGTGATCTCAGGAAAAATTTGAGGAATGAGATCTGGTGCTCAGTAACAGAGGTAGGTGAAAGACATTCTACCAACATTATTTACTAAGAAAGAATAACTAACCCATGAATATTCTTAATCACAGGTCTAACATGTAAATCACTTTACAAGGAAGCTATATGAACATAAAATGGCACAGCTTCATGGTATTCAGGGCTATTGTCATTCTGAGCATGACTGTATTTGAGCCTACTTAAACCATTCATTTTCTTCATTAACTCTAGGAGATTGGGGCTGAAAAATAACACAAACATATATATATATATATATAACTTTTCCTGACTTCATCAACAGCAATGATGTGAAGCCCTCATTACAGTCACAAGAAAATAAGAACTAGAGTGGAAGGAACACTCAGAATAGATGTAGAAGATCAAAGCTCTCCCTTCAGTTTTGATTCTGACAAGTCTTTTGATAACTCTGAATCTTAATCTCTTCTCTTGCAAAATAGTTTTTACACATATGTTATAAGATTATAATTGAGAAAAATGAAATTGTGGAAGTGGAAAAGCTTTTGAAATTATGAAATGTAGAAGCTATGGCTATGTCTGTTGTATGTATTTATATCAGCCCTGGGCAGCCTGCATGAGGCAAGAATGGAAAGGTTCAGGTGTGGGACAGCAGGTGTGAAGCTGCATGGCACACTGCTGCCTGGGGTGTCCAAAGGGAATATTAAAGAAAAAAAAAAACTATAACACCTGTTAAAGGTAACAAAACTTTATTCAAGGGTCATTACAATGGGGTTTTTGTAATAGGGTGAAGGATTGGGCTCAACGCCAGATAAAATAAGAAAAAAATAGGGTTATAAAGCTAAAGTATAGGGTCAGGTGGATGGAATATTCCTAAGAAGTAAGGCATCATTTTGCTAAACTGACCTGGTAGGATTTTTTTGTTGTTGCTGAAGGCAGGTTAGGGTGGGGCAGTATCATATAGATGGTGGTCAGAATAAAGGTTGATTTTTACTAAATGGATCCAACAGGACCATGCTAAACCTGGAATAAGTCAACCAAGCACAGAGACCAAGCTCCAGGGCCTTGTCAGAAGGAGGGCTCAAAGGAGAAGAGTTAGGTCAAGATCTTCATGAATAACATGAAAAATGGCTCTAAAATATGTGCATTTAAGTGTTAAAGGTAAGCAAAATAAAAAAATTACTGTATTTAGAATTCATGAAAGAAATTTACAACCATTATAACGTAAACAAAAGAAAACTCTGGTAGTAGGAACAATGAAATTATTGAACATTGATTCTAAATACTTCAGTCTTTAAAATAATGTGTTTTTAGAGAGTTTAGTTATTTAGTATGTCATTTATATTCACTGATACAGTTAGTCTGAGTTTGGACTAGTCACTGTTTTGTTACTCAAATGCTTCTGCAATGGTATTTTCCCTACCCTGCTATGAATTCAGGTGTCAAGGATTTCAGTGCTTCTTGCCGAGCTGAATAGAAAAACTAACAAGTTTAATAAGCATGGTATCTTTTACCTTCTGGTTATCAGAAGGTAAAAACATTAAGTACAGAGTAAGTAAAACTGTGTGACCCTGAATCTCTTTTCCTCTGCTAAAGAATCTAGTTATAGAACATTTTGTACTAAAAAATAATTTAAAAGATCCACTTTTGTTTCAGTTTTTCTTTTGAGTGACAGCCTTCTGTATTTGGTTTTATGTGTATCTGTACATTATTATAAACGCAGACATGCAATTTTCTGCATATACTCTGCATCTTTTCCGTAAGTTTGAGGCACAGAGGAAAGCAGTGCAGTATGAGATGCCATATACTTGCAGTAGGAAGGAAGATGAGGCAAGGATAGGTTATGAAATGGAGGAAGGGTAAGGATGGGACACGTAAAGTCCACACACTCCCTAAAAAAGAGTGGCCGCAGTCCTGCCCTGCGGTTTTCCAGCAGTTTGCATAGAAGGAAACTTGATCTGCTTCATGAGTCACCTAGTCATAAAATGCAAGCAGACAGAATAACTGCTCTGGCCTCTAGAGAGCTGGCTCAGCCTAGTCCCTTTGGTTAAATATTCTCACCTCCAGTTGCACCAGAGCCTGGACTAAGTGAACATTTGGAAGGAACCACAAAAGCTTCCTTTTCTCTAAAAAGCACAGGCGGTTAGACTCTGTGAATGTTAAAGTAGAAACTAGAGAGGTTGAGATTTAATGGCCCTGTCTAATTAGAGTTCTTTAAAAAGTTTCTCATATTAGATAAAATTGGATTTATTCAATGATATGAAGGTAAAATTTGAAAACTGCGTACTACACACTGGGCACAGGAAGAACTAAAAAATAAAAATAAAAAATAAATAAATAAAATTTAAAGACACAATACAGAGAGCTACGGATGGTCAAACTCAGAAGATTGTGTCGGATCTGAAACAAGCAGTAAATTATTTATTACTCCTAAATCTTAACCCATTTGAGGTGATTAGGAGCAGGGCAATCTTTGAGAAACTCCTAAGATAAGAAGGTATCAAAACTAGTGTTTGGAAAGGCCAGATAGGAGCTGTTGGTTCCTTCAGCACACCATTCTAAACATAGAGCACATAACTTACGTCTAAAGCACAAAACATACACTTCTTCCTGGGTTTTGGGCATGGTAAATGTGACCACCAGATGGCAGAAGTGCACTCTGGAGAAGTGGAGTAATAAAGATCTCTGCCCTCTGTCTTCTGCTCACTCAACTCCCCACTAGATGACAGCAACGTGAATATAAAATTGAGAAAACATTAATGGATTATGTGAAAAAGCAACATTAACCCTTCTGTTAAACCTGAAGGCAGTACTTTTAAAAAGCATGCACCATTGCATTCTTTTCTCTAGAAAATTAAATGCATTATTTGCTTCTAGGCCTTCCACACACCACCTTAATACACAGAAATAAGACAAACAAAAGCAAACATTTTTCTTCTCCAAAGAATATAGAGAATATCACTGTTTGACTGGGTAGTATCATAAATAAGAGTGGAGAAGGGCTAGAGAAAACAGAAGAATCAGAGGTGCTTGACTGGGAAGAAGAGAAGAGTAAGAAGATGGGGCAGGCCAGGAGCTCAGATAAGCAACCTTCACATTTCTACGGGTAACCCTGCTTAGTGCTTTTAGCAAGTCTTACCTGGACATTGTCTTCAACAGCCACATGAAACTCAACACAGCGCAAATGGTTTCCAGGAGAGGGAAGAAATAAGAGGTCAGGGAGTGCTTAGATGATTAAGATAATTTTTTTGTACGCAATGATTTTATTGTCCAGCAAAGCTGTACTTTAACTTTATTTCAAGTATCTTTAAGAAGAGTACAACAAAACAGTATACAATATCAAAAGACAAAAGCAGACTTAAGTTTAATAAAAGAGGAGAAAGTCCCTGTTTTGCTTCACACACCAGACAGCTTTAAGGTGGGGTATTTAGAGGCGAGAAAAGAAGGCAGCGAGGGCCTCAGGAGAGGGCATTCAGGGAGGACAAGAGGGTCGCCACTTGGTTCTCCATCTGCATCCAGAACCATGCTGCCAGGTGTGCACTCAGGAGGCAGCCATTTGGCCAGCACAGGTTAGGAATAACAAAAGTAAGCAGCTACTGTTAAGCACCAGTCATTGCAGGCCACCTCTTTTGGGGTGGTAGTTTTATCTGTTCTCTGAGAGAATATCTTGCTCAGGGCCCAACAGTTTTAAAAAATTGCAAAATTAGTATCCAAACCTGTTTTCTTGGCAGTATTTCTTCTGCTTTTCTAGGGCCCCCCCCCCTCACCTATGCTGTGGCTGGAGATAAAGACTCACTGACTGCCACCAGGGGTCACACTGGCCAATTTGAATCAATTAATGAGTACAATTGGATCTAAATGTAGTTAATTACATCACAATGACCTGCCCAAGTTTAGTTCCGCTGAAATTGCAACATCGATTTGGGACATTATAAAGGATTACTGGAAAAATAAGAATAGGTTTAAAGAAAATCCCCCCTACCCCTTTTTTTCTGACTTAAAAATAAAAGAAGAGAAAACTGAATAAATCCAAACCCACTGGCATAGAAGCTTTAACTTTCTACCTGGCAGTTAGCCAAAGATTATTGGCTCAAACTTCCTTTCTGCTCAGAGGAGGAAGGGCAGAGAGCAGTTAGCTGTCTTTTAAAACAAGGTGATCATGTTTTGAGCATTGAGACAAAGGGCTGATGAGAGCCCTTGATGCAGCTTTACTCTTTGTCACAAAGATTAATGTGAGTTGTACATAGCAACATTTCTGTGACTGTGATCCTTGGAAATCCTGCTTTCCAAATGACAAAGCTCAGGCTGGATTCACATACAGGTTTCACAGGATAAAGCAGAGAAGCCAGCATATCCCAGGCAACTGCATATTGTACAGGACAATTACAGTTAGCTGCACAATCAACAATACATCCACACTGCATGAGCATGTTTTTCTGCAAATGTCTAGAAAGCTTTTTAAGAAATTTAAAGTGGCTCTCTGTGGCAGTTTCTTTAGGTGAAAAAGGTGCTGATGGTCACTATGGTAACCAAGATGGAAGCAACAAGGAGTAAAATCAGACCCATATGACATAATTTTGATCGCTTATCACGTTTCTTCTTTTTTTTCAACAAGGTGTCAAAACCTGGTGTGTACATATCTCCCAACCAAAACCGTAGGTCATTAGGATTTTCCTAAAAGAAAATCACATAGAAAATATTATCAATCAGTGATTCATCAGGGTTACAAATAGCAACTGCAGAACAAGACATGGTCAGAGGTCCTCACACAGTCCTGGGTGAGGCTTAAGTGTCACAGCTTGAATAAAAGAGGCTATGCTTCTCTGAACAGCCCAAATACACTGCTAGAGCCTGCAGGCTGGCCAGGGATCTCTGGTGTTAATTTGTGAGTCTTAAACAGAATCCATTAGGGATGATTTCTATATTAAATCACTCACATTGAAGGGTCAGAAACACCACAGTATTTCTGTCATCTCTAAGCCAATTTTGTATTTCTTATATCTTATAAACAGTCCACGTAAATCAAGTTAGTGAGTTTAAACAGAATGAAAATTCCTTGCTTTAGATGAACCTTAGAGGTTTCGTTTTGTCTGCACAGCAGGAATAACACATTTGGTGGGTTTTTCAGTAAATTTGGAAGCTGACTTCCATGGAAGGAAACTAACTGTTAAGAGTTCCTTTCATGATTCTCGACTTGCTGGTCTTCTTTGCTGAGGCCTACAGCATGAAACTTTACCACACAGAAACTTTGCTACTGCTTGACCTCCTGAAGAAAAGCCCTACTATGTCCTCCCCCCACGAACTTCTATTTGCCATGGATGGATCTGTTTCACTGGTTTCATTTCCCTTTTAGTCCCAGAGAATTATCTTCAAGTCAGTTTACTCTCCCGTGTCTAATACGTCACCTGCAAATTCTATTATCCTACATTAAAAAACAAAACAAAACAAAACTACAACACAAAAACTCTTCTCTTACTATCTCCTGCTATGTTCCAGGGTTGTAGATTTGGTGCCTATGTTTACCATCTAGAAGATGTGAAGCAAATTTACAGGAAAACACTGCTTTTAAAAAGCCACTACAGACCTCATTATTTCTAGCCTGGATGCTTGCAAGGGCTTGAAGCAGGCTACCCATGCTTTCTCTGCGTCTCCAGTCTCAGTGTACTTAAAGTCAGCTGGATGTGTGGCATAGCCAGTTTCCATAGTTGTCAGCCTTGGAGTCACTGAAGTAGAGGGGTACTGCTAGGAGAGAACTGCACATAGGCAGCTGCAGTAGATTGACCATGGCAATACAATTTTTTCATTACAGTGGTGTAGGTTTGAACTTCCTAGTCTTAGAGATGCTCAAATATTGCAGTCAAATTTGGAAGAACTGTGTAGAAAGATACTGATTTAAAAATCTTTTTCTACTTTACTCTTGTCTTTCATCTTGTTTGTGTCCTAACAAGACCCTTGCACCTTGTCTGCAAGTTTAATAACTTTGTTCTCCATTAAAGCTTTCATAGAAGCTTAAGTTCTGCTTTTATCTTGCTTTGATAATTAAATATGGGACCTACTTTTCCTGTTCTGACTTATAAACTCTTAGCAATTTAGAAAAATAGGAATGGCTTAAGGCATCTGGAACATTAACAGCCCATAAATTGTGTCAAGTTTACGGAAAATAAGTTAGGGAGTTGTTTACTAATTATGAGATCAGGATAGAAGTGGAGATAACAGAAGTTGACATATAGGAAGGAATTCTAATACAAACAAAATGCATGACTTCCAGAAACTTCCCTCAAGAAGTTAGTGCTGAAGAATAGCATCATGAAATCAGTGAACAGGCCTTAGGACTGTTCTTCATTCCTTTGAGGAGAATGTGCACAAGGAGGGCTGGGTAGAGCCGGGGATAGGTGATTTCAATAATAGGATGCATCCATTAGATTTATGTTCGACCAGCATGGACACACACACAAAACAGAGAAAACTGGGTGTGGGCATCTGGTTCCTGTCATCCCAGTTGTTACAGGAAACATAAATGGATGGTGTTCCAGACCAGCCCCGCCAAAAAGTGAGACCCTATCTCCAAAATAATCAGAGAAAAAAGTTAGAGGCATGGCTCAAGCAGTAGAATGCCTGCCTAGCAAGTGCAAAGCCCTGAAGTCAAACCACAGTCTGGGCAATCAAAATATATGTACATTTCATTGCCAGTAATCTTCAGTTTCCTTAGTGTAACATTTAACAGTTAAAAGTTCAAAAATCTTTTTAAAAATAAATTTATTTTAAACTGATACATTAAAATTATGTTTAAATCAGGCTAATATATCTACTCACTCAGGGATTTTTTGAGGGCAGGGATGTAATATTTATCTCCACGGACCCCTTGCCATGCATGTAAACAGCAAAGGCAAAAAGAAAGAGCCCTTAGTATATGGCCAAGAAATGTTTATTTGTGAAATAAAACAACACTTTTCTTTTCTAGTAGTAGACTTAGAAGTCCTGATATGAAGTCTTCTGATAAGAAGCCCAACATTTAAAAAAAAGAAAAGAAAGAAAAAGAAATGCATGGTTATTGTTGCCATAGGGAACATTTGTTTTGGATGTTTTTTAGAAAGGTGCTACAGTAAGGAGGAGAGACATTCACTCTACTAGATCAAGAAATCTGAAAGATTCTGGAACATAAGATATTTTGAGGAGCAGATATTTGAGGTTTTAGAAAGTGTGTAGAATTTAAGAGGACATGGTACTGTCCCCTTCAGAAGAAAAATGCCTCAGGTGTTTAAGTTATGAGGCTTAGAACAGATACACATTTTTAAGTGAAGGCTACTTGGAAATATCAGGCCTTCCTAGCCCAAGGCAGGTGGAGGCAAGCCAGGGCTGGTTAGGAATTCAGGTCTTTCAGATAACAGAGAGACACCCTCTCAGCTTTTCAGGTATTTCCAGGTCCTCTATACATGGTGATATTTTGGGATTAAAAGAAAAAAAAAATAAAAGCTTCAGCTGGGTTTAAGCTTGGTGAATGAGTTCATTGCATACTTTTCCTCTGTTGAAATGTTTTTGTTTTGTTTTGTTACTGAGACACAGGAAAATGACCAAAATGTAAATCTGCCATCTTAAATCACTGGATAGGCTTGAAATAAATGATCACTGTTAAGAACTTCCTTGCACAATGCCTAAGACAGAGCACTTGATAAATGTTTTTGCTAAATGCAGAGTAGGGAATGTGTTCTTAAGAGTCTATGAACATAAATAGTTACAGTGTTACAAACTAGGGGAAAACACGTCTGAAAACTAATTTTCAAAACCTCTCATCTTCCCAGAAAACCTTTGCTCAATGCCACATCATTTTTGTCCTCTATATATTAGACAAATGCCAGTAACTGCTGAAATTATAAAGCTCAAAAAAAAATTAACTAGGATGGCGAAAGTGAAATGAGGAGCCAAAATGGTCTGAAATCTGGAGATTTGTCTAGTGACGAGTGCTTCACCTATCATCAGCCAGGTGCCGGTGGCTCATGCCTATAATCCTAGCTACTCGGGAGTCAGAGATCAGGAAGGTCATGGTTGCAGGCCAGCCTGGGCAAAATGCAAATAAAACCCTATCTCAAAAATACACAGCACATAGCCAGGAGCTGGTGGCTCACATTTGTAATCCTAGCTACTCAGGAGGCAGAGATCAGAAGAGCTAGTGGTTGGAAGCCAGACCCAGGAAATATCTATCTCCGAGGGGGAAAAAAAAGAAAACCTTCATGAAATAAAGGGCTGGTGGAGTGACTCAAGGTGTAGGCCCTGAGTTCAATCCCCAGTACTGCAGAAAAAAAAAAGAAAAGAAAGAGAAATAGAAGGTGCCTATCATCTCAGTAACACTTTTTTTGTAGGTTTATTTTGAGGGCCTCCGTCACCAGTTGAAGAAAGCCATGAGTCTAGGTACCTTCAGATGTCCAGAAAGGTTTGTGTGCAGGGAGTGCTTGTCATATTCCTCAACGGTCCACGAAGGATTCTTTTTTCTTTCCTCCATAGCTTCCTCCAAACTCAGGTCAGTGTATAGTGGGTTATTCTTCATAACTGAAGACATGGATGGTGGAGGGCTACCAGCAGCAACAGGACCCTCTCTGCTGAATCCCTTAGTTGGTTGAGTAGTGATATTCTTTTCTTTCTGTTGGAGGCAAGGAGACCAGGCTTCTCTTACAAATGGGACTTGTGATAGTGGAGAGGACAATGCAAGAAATCTGTACCTGAAAATTTGCTGATTCTGCCTTGAAACCCAACAGATTAAGATAGTGAACCAGGCAATGACTCTAGGATCTACTTTGACCTAGAATTCTAGCACAAAGTTCTTTCTTTGCATGTGATTTTGTTCAGCTTTAATAATCATTAAAATGCTATTCGAGAAATTTTTATTCATCTAGTAGAATTCTGAACAAAGCCAATTTTTCCAGCTTACTTGCATTGAAGTTTCATGACATTTCATTTCCCTTTGTGCATTCCAAAACTGATAAAACTTATTTAATATTGCTGTATTCCCCCAGCAAAGCCAAGATTAAAAGACACTTTATAAATATGCTTTGGCTTTTACAAATTCTCTCTTGGCTACTATTTCACATAGCTTTGATGACTGGACTAACTTAGTACAGCACTCTTCTGTCTCATGACCAGATGCCTAGGAGATGGCTCAAATATTGACTTTCAGATTTTTAAGAGCTTGTTGTTGAAGCAAAATATTGTACTGAGAAGGGCACATATGATAAATGTATAGCTTAATACACTGTCACAAATCAAATAAACTTAAGCTTTCACATCCAGACCAAAGAACAGGATATTGCTAGTATGGCTTAGGCTCCCTTCCACTCTGTACTCCTTCCCCTGCCCAAGGATACCCAACATCCCACATTCTAACAGCATAGGTTAATTTGGACTCATTTTGTATGTTATATAAATACATGCATATGCAATGTCTACTTTTCTGGCCTGACCTTTAGAATTTTACTTTGCTTTGATTCTTGTTCTATTAGGACTACAATGATATTATGAACATAGGACCTTTTTAAATTAATATTTGTTCATTGTCCAAACATGAAATAAAACAAAAAAGCTTACTGAATAATGTTTTATTTATGATGATATCTCATGGGAAAGAAATCCCACATAAGTTAACTTTCAGATAACTTAAGTTTAAACCCTGAAAAGCTAGTAGCAATTACCTTAATTTACAGCAATGTTTCAATAAATGTGTTTCATATATCACAACCTTCTTACACAGAGAAAGTTAAGTGGGGAGTTTATTTCTGAGTTGTATTTATGATAGTTCAATACACTGATAACTTTAGTGTCTATTGAGATATATAGGTCACATCAAATATATGCCTATATAAGCTAATGTTGTAAAGTACTACGTAACATTTCCTTCTGAAATAACAGTAAAGGAAAAAAAAAATCATCTAGATGAAACCATTGACATTCTCTTGGGTGTTGGATTTCTCTGACTTTCTTTAATCTGTGCATTTTTCCCAAGCTTAGAGATCAACTTGGAGCTTCTCTCTGACATTAACAGATTTTTGGATTGTTCAAAGTCAATTTATATTCTACAATTCCAAAGTTTCTGAAAAACAGTTTGATAAGAAATTTAGATTGTTTGAGCTTAGCATAATTCTGACTCAAGTTTTTTTTTTTAATAAGCCTGAACATCTTTGATCATTTTTGAAGAGGGATAATTCTTCTGACATTTACAAATTGGCTTTGTGAACACCTGTTAGGGTGTTCTTTGAGCTTCTTAAGTAAGAAGGCTCTATAAATAAGGAAAATAAAGTTTGGGGGCTCAAGGAAAAAAATTACACACATTATGACAATGACTTAGAAAAGGTAACATATAAAAGATACAAAATTACTTAGAGATATATTCTGAAGGAACAGTCAATCCCTATTTCTGGACCATGTTGTTGACTATTTTGAGGTTTATCCTAAAATATTTACTTTTGCTAGGCATGTCAATTTTATATCTGAAGGGCATGTCAAAAAATTTAATTGTTTAACTTTGTTAAGAATCTGATGGAATCTATTACTTTGTATAATTAATATATGCTAATGTCAGAGTATATAATATATATACTTTAGTGGTTGAGCACTAAGTGGTTAGCATGCATGAGGCCCTGGGTTTAAAAAAATGGGATTTGATGTGAAGATAAGAAAAACTACTAATTTGGGTTGAGGTTCATTTGTATTTTACTAATTTTTTCAAATAACCTTAAGAGAATAAAAAGCATGTATCCAGTTCAACTCCCCACTGTACTGTACATTTTAAATAGAATGTATTTACCACTTGAAAATTCAATACCGATTCAATTATTTTGATCAAGTGGACTCTAAATAAACTCCACTTTACAATATTTATTGAAGAAAAGTAACATTTCAAAGCTTTACTTGGAATTTTCTGTATTAAATCATTACTTTTGTTCACTTATTCTTTACCTACTTTATTTATTACACCCTTAATGTATATATAAAATGTTATTTAACGAAGAAACAGAAGACATATTTAGATGAACAAAATCTAAGAGCACTTAATCAACAGATTGTTAATTTCACATAGGTAATCTCTATCAGAATGTCACACAGGTAATTTAATTTAATAAGATAAAATCCAAGCCGGGAGCCCTCCCTAGGACCTGGGGATGAGAATTCCTCAGTAAATACTCCTGCTCCAATTGCTGTTGCCAGCCTTCTCACTCCAGAGGCCACTCACTTTAGTCTATTGAAAGCGTACTCCTTTCCTAATAAGCTTTGCTGTCGTCACTATTGAAAAAAGAGAAACTCGAAAAAATGTATTTCAGGAAGAAGAAAGTTAGTAACAAAAGGAAAGATTAAGGAAAGGACAAATTCTGAGAAAAATAAAATAAAGATTGATAAATGTATGGTAAGATGGAAATAATAATAATCAAATAAGGGAAACCAAAATACTGGATGTAGTAAATTTTACACAGATATTTTTGAATAGGGAATTTTAAGAAATAATTTCAGTGAAGGGAGAGAGGCATCACTAAAAATAGGGAAATAATATATATCTTTTAAATTAGTAGAACAGTTGGAAGATAAAAGCAAGTTGATTAAACTTTAAGAACACTAGAAAATGAAGCCAAGAGTAGAGCAGGAACATCAGGAAAATACAAAGAAAATAATTTATAAATAATCACATTAAATGCAAATAGACTACACTATTCCATCAATGGAGACTATCAGATCAGATTTTTAAAAGCAAATACAATTATATAGTATTTATAAAAGGAATACCTAAAATTCAAGGACTCAGAAAGGAAAGAGTAGAAGAATGCTTGTGATGCCTGACTGAATGCCTGACAACTCTCTTCCTTTCCTGAACACACAGGGCACTTGCCTTTCTCGGTCTCTTCCGAAGTTAGATTGGAGTCAGTTGTTTCATAACCAATGATTTGCAACAGAAGTAATAGGGACCACTTCCAAGCCTGATGCCCAAAATACTCCACCGGAATTTTGCTTTACTTCTTTTATGTGTGTTTGATATTTTGTGGACTTGTTTGTCATCACAATGTAGCCAAGCCTACCCTCAAAAAGTGAGAGCTTAAAATTCCACAATTGTGTGTCAGTAGCTTAAAAGTCAAGAAGTGAGGGCTGGGCATGGGTGTTTACACCTTTCATCCCAGCTACACCTGTGGCTCAAATAGGAGGATCACAGTCCTAGGCTAACCCTGGGCAAAAAGAGTTTGAGATCCTATCTAAACAGTAACTAATGCAGAAAGGACTGGGTAGTGGCTCAAGTGGTAGAACTCCTGCCAAGCAAGCATAAGGCACTGAGTTCAAAACCTGAGTGCTGTCAAAAAAAAAAAAAGTCAAGAAATGGAAATGGCCTAGAATGACATTGGAAACTGGAATGAAGGCTATTCACATTACACAGTGGAAAATATTTATATGTTACCATGGTGATTTGGAAGATAATTACCCAGAACTTTAGGAGAGATACTTGTAACTAATCAGAAAATTTACATAGCAATATGAAAAAAATCAGAGCATTAGTATAAAAAAGAGATAAGGCCAGGGAAAAAAACGGAGCAGAAGAATTGAAAGAGTACAGTGCATCTAGATATTTGCTACTTTCTAGTGTTAATAATCTGACCATAAACCCTGAACACTGAAGTGAGAGACTATTTAAAAACCAAAGAAATATAAAGCACAAAGTCCAGTGCAATTCATCAGTTGAATTCCATTTGTAGGTCAGCCTCCAGGCACATCTGTACCCCCCACATCAGACCTAGTGTGAATGGGAGGGAGGAAACATTTTATTGTGTTCACTCATAGGCATGCATCACCTAACCATTTAGAAAAGATATAAAGATATAAAGAAGGTTGCTAGAAAATGAATAAAATAGCATCAATAAAATATAATTACTCCAAGTTCATGTGCATACAACAAAATTTCCTTAACACAAAGAAAAATGAAATAGTTATGAGAAGTTTATACATGGATTTTTATCAAGCATGAAAAACAATGATTAAGGATAAAGAACATTTGGACTATAAAAATCAACAGGTTTGATCAAAGAACAAACAAAAATACTGAGCATCTTCAAAAATGTAGACTATGCAGAGAATTACATAGACTCAATATTAGCATGGTTCATCCACTTAGACTGCTGACAGTCTAGTTATAAATCCAAAAATCATCAAAATATAACTTAAAAACTGAATTTTATAGACATTTAAAACACATTTTAAAGTAATAATCCTGGAAAATTTAAAACTTAGGACAGGGTGACAGTGAAACATTGTTATCTGGAGCTGAATTGGTATTTTGAGGAAACATGAGCAAATACGCTTGCAGAATAAAAGGAGAATTTTAAAAATTAGTGAGTTAATAAGCATCCAATTTAAAGACATAAAAAAAAGCCACAGAATAAAACTAAAAAATAGTAAAAAAATGAAATAATAAAGATGGAAGCAGAAAACAATTAATATTAAAAAGAAAACCTCTAATTACACAATGGAGAGGATAAACAATTTTATTTCTTTTTTTTGATGGTACTGGGGTTTGAACTCAGGTTCTTATGCTTGCTAGGCTGGCGCTGAGCCACCTGAGCCACTCCACCAGCCCAGGATGAAAAATTTTGAAAGCTATTTCTTTAAAGAGGG